TCTCCATATTAGACAGACTGAGGAACCATTTTTCCGTGCCACTAAATGCTAATCTAATTAGAATTTCTCCACAGAAGAAATTCTAATTCTAGTTCTTTCCCAACACTGTGTGTTTGTGTGTGTTTGTGTGTGTTTGTGTGTGTGTGTGTGTGTGTGTGTGTGTGTAGGGAAGTAGAAATTACACTTCGCTTCCACACCAATGAGCTTTCCCTGAAAGGAGGTAATAATTTGATTTCTTTAGATACAGAAATAATCCAAATGACAGTGTCACCAACCCATTGCATTCCACATTTTCCTCAGTCTGAGAAACGGAAATATCTAAATAACGCGGCAGAACCACTTATCCCTTATGGGGAAGCAAAAGAGCCCTCCACAACTCCTGACTCTAATTTTATATCGTCGGTATCTGCTTTTTAGTTGCTGACATTTGAATATGCTGCCCCAAAATCAGTGGCATACCTGAATCCACCCTTAATTAGTCAGTTCCTGTTCCCTCTTTGCATAGGCCTTTAATTATGGGGTTTGTCTTTGTGACCAAACAACTTCTGCTCATCTTGTCTTTTTCTTATGGTCACTGCATAGTGTCCAGGCAACAAAACCTTTGCCATTTTGTGAGCTTTCCCCCACAATTCTAACTCAGAATTGTAAATTGAAAGGGGCCACAGAGCCACTCGACTCAATGCAAGATCCACTGCAAGTCATCTCTGAGAGAATTACAGGTAGTCCTCAATTTACAAAAGTTCATTTAGTGACTGTTCAAAGTTACACTGGTATTGAAAAAAGTGAAATGATAATTTTTCACACAAACGACCGTCGCAGTATCCCTATAGTCATGGGTTCACCGACAAATGCATGCTCGACAAAAGTGCAACCAACAAAACCGCAGCGAGAAAACCGTGAGTTCTAAATCGCGCCGACGAATGAGCGCAGAAGTGCGCCGACAACAGCGCGCCGACAAAAGCGTGCCTTCAACAAACAAGTAATAACCGCGAGTTCTAAACCTAACCCTAAACCTAACTCTAAACCTAAACCTAACCCTAAACCTAAACCTAACCCTAAACCTAAACCTAACCCTTACCTTAACTGAAATCGCGCTTTTGTGGGCGTGGTTTTGTCGGTGCATTGTTGTGGGCACGTTTATGACGTTGCAGTTTTTGTTGCCGTGGTTTCATCGGCATGCTTTTGTCGTGCGCGCATTTGTCGGGTCACGATAGTCATGTGATCAAAATTCAGATGCTTGGCCACTGGTTCATATTTATGACCTTTGCAGTATCCCAAGATCATGGGATCACAATTTTGTGTCCTTCTGACCAGCAAAGTCAATGCTGGTCAGAAGGACACCAAGCGCCAGATTCGCTTCGCAAACATGTTATTAAGTTAACTACAGTGATTCACTTAATAACTGTGGCAAAAAAAGATCGTAAAATGGGGCAAAACTCACTTAACAAATATCTCACTTAGCAACATAAATTTGGGGCTCAATTGTGGTCGTAAGTCAAGGACTATCTGTACTTTCCAGCCACCATTTTCTACCTCTGAAGGAAATAGGAATTCCTGGTTTTCCGCCACTCCATTTTAAAAATAATCTTTGTTCTTCCCAATCCTCTCACAGCCACTGTATTCCTCTCCAAATGCAAACATCCTTTCTATCTATGTTTATTCAAAAGTTAGGCTTGCCGTGTTGAACTGCATCCCAATTGGACAAAATAGCCAAACGCACAAAATCTTTCTCCTCCTCAGCCATTCTGCAGTTGAACTGAATTCCAGAATCTCCCTGAAGATATCTTACAAGTGCGTGAATTCAGCTAGCCTTCCCAAGTTGTGTAGTTATCAACTTTGATTATAAGAATTCTGGGAATTGAAGTCCACAAGTCATAAAAGGGCCATAGTTCCCCACCTTTGCACTAGACTAGCAATGACAAACCTTTTTTTGGCTCAAGTGCCATAAGTGGGGGGAGCGCAGGGGGGGCATGTGTGGGCATGCTGCACCCATAATGCAATGCGCAACACACACACCCCAGTGTGCATGCGTGCACTACAGGTGCGACCCCCCCACCATTTTTTGCATCCTTTTTTCGCCCTCCCCAGGCTCCAGAGGCTTTATGAGAGCCTGGGGAGGGTGAAAAAAGCCTCCTCCCCCCCCCCCCAAGGCCCTCTGGAGGCTTCAGGGACCTTCAGGAGGCTTCCCTGAAGCCTCTGGAGCATTTAAAACAACCCTCCGAGCAAACCGGAAGTCCGTTCCCGAACTTCCGGTTTGCCCATAGGGCTGTTATTTTGCGCTCCGAAGGCTTCAGGGAAGCTCATGAAGCCTCCAAAGGGCCTCTGGGGGGGTTGGGGGCTCTTTTTGTCCTCCCCAGGCTCCTATAAAGCCTCTGGAGGCTGGGGAGAGCAAAAAATGGCTTTAAAAAATTGTGAACTCAGTTGGCCAGCGCACGCAGGCACGCTGGCCAGCTGACAGGGCAGCGCCTCATGTGCCCTGACAAATGGCTCCTTGTGCCACCTGTGGCATGTGTACCATAGGTTCACCATCCTGGCACTAGACCATCAACTAAATATGAATCTTTAAGTAAATAAAATGCCAATACCTTGACTAGATACCAAAATCTTCGGAGGTCATCACAATCCTCTGAGACCTTGCAAGATTCGGATAAGAGCCTTAGAATTTATATGATTTCAAGTGAGTACGAAACTCTTGAAAGATTTGGCAATATCCATTTTGAAATAAGACTACAATACCTGGGTTGCAAAGCATCACTAACCACTAGTTGGAAGGAGAAAGACACAATGAACTGTTTTTCTGGTGAGACCAGTCTTTCATGGCAACCATGTCTACTCAGATATGGGACGGAGCAAACTGCTTCCACTTTCGCCTTTTAGCCCCAATCCAAGGGCCTTCACAGGCAGTGGCTTCCATGACAAACCATTTCATGTTAAATTTATTTCTTTGTTGTTAAATTTAAATTTAACATTTTGCTGAACTAATGGTCAACTGGATTTGCTTTTTAAAGATTTTTTTTTACCTGTCTTTATTACCTCAGAAATAACTCAAGATGGCAAACATACCTAAAATTCTCTCCTCCTCCTATTTTCTCCACAACAACAACAACCCTGTGATGTGGGTTGGACTGAGAGAGAGGGTGACTGGCCCAAAGTCACCAAGCCTAAAGCAGAATTAAAACCCATGGTCTCCTGGCTTCTAAGCCAGCACTTTCATTACTACATCAGCTTGGCTCTTTTTTTGCCAGCTCAGTTATATTAAACTGGTTTTAATTTAAAATAATTAATTTAATGTAATAACTTAATTAATGTAAATTAAATTAATAATGTAATGTAATTTAATTTAATAACTAAATACTTATTTAGTCTATCCCAAGGACAAACTATAATTGAGAACCATTCCTATATTCTCTGAATTGCTAAAGAGCTAGACAAAAGATGCAGGACCAATCATCCTCTTGTAATTATCTATGAAATACTTCCTATTCCTTTCCTATTACCACTATTTATTGCACATAGTTGTATAATTTGAAAATGGACCACCTTTGCTATAGTTTTTCCCTCCTGAAAATATTTACATCTATACTACTCAGAGCATGGTGCAATGCTATAAGTGCAAGCACTTATATTAAGCTTTAACCAGTTTATGCAACTTTCATTTCATAGTTCCACAACCATTCTCATGCACCCTGACCAAAATCAGTGCTGGCATTCCATCTTGTCTTCTAACCTAAGTTGTGGTAGCCATGAAGAACATCTGCATCGTGTCATGCTTCCTTGGCAGGAGAACCTCTAATGTTTTCATTTTACAGGAAAGGCAAGATGAGCATTAGGGCAATGTAAATCTTTATCGCGTTGATGCAGTTTGACTATTTGCTTCAAATTATTCTTAAAAGGCTGGGCCACTTTGAATCAAATTGGACTTCCAAAGGAAGTCAATGCTGACCTTACATTCAAACTGACAGTTTGAATTGGGCCAATTCAGACGCTCAGGAATGATTACTTATTCGCATTAGACCGATCCAATTCAACAATTGCAATCCAATCCAGTTTGCCCAAACCTAAAAAGCATTTATTTGATCTGCATCCATATTCAAAAACACCCTAGAATGTGTGTTCACTTTTCCTCAGTATACATTCCTGCATGTGGATGATGGATATTACTATATTCTTGTGCAGAGAGCTATTTGGCAAATACGGATCGTAATTATCTTAAAAATCAAATACCTTTAGTTTTTACTGAAATGTTAAAATGACTCTAACTCCATTTGGCACACATTAAAATATATATTGGCACAGAAATGATAGTTTATTATTGACTTTGGTCCTTAGTTTTTCTGCTTACATAGAAAAAGTGTATTTCCTCTTTGGGGACAATGCAATTTTACAGCTATAGCAAAGATAAACAGTTGCTTTTATTCAATTTTTTTTTAAAAACATGGGAATTTATTTGGCTCAGAAATGCCATTTGAAAACACATTGTCTTTTGTCTCAGGCTAAAAGAGCAACTATTTTAGCGGTTTAATGTATTAACTGTGCATTAAGGAGCTAAGCACTCTCAGAGAAAGGGATCTTTGACCCCAGCGGTCAAGAAATGTGGGATTTGGGGAAAGAGAACAGAGTGGCAAGATTGTGTCCTATGAAGCTCTGAGATATTTTTTTATGTTCTGCCTGCTGCGAACTTTTCACCCTTGTAAAGATTTTCAACTTAATCTCTACTACCCATTAAGTTATTCAAGTGGATTTCTTCCAGACCAAGATATCTCCCACTGGAACTGAACTAGAGGAGAGGAGGAAGATCTAATGCTTATGGCCAAGGACATTGTGGGTAGGGGAATTCTGCACAACATAGACTTACATGTATGCTGTGTCTCTCTCTGATGCCGGCTCTTAGGGCTAAGGTTGAACCCAGTAGCAATGGGAAGCAAAAGCACTCACCATACTTGCTCGCAAGTCTACATTCCAGACAGGGACTACAGAACAAGCCACACATACCTATCGCGAAGTACAAACAGAAAGGTCAGAGAGAAACACAATGGCTTCTGTCAGCTGAAGGATCACATAGCTGGACTTGGCTCAAAAAATTAGGAAGATTTAGGAGGCTAGAGATGGGGAGGGGTGGAAACATGTGCCTTAAGCATCTTTGCACCTCCCAAATCTGAGGGATTCTATGATCTGTAAAAGGAGTGCTAGCACAAACTGCTAGCACTCCTTTTACAGATCACAGAATCCCTCATAATTGGCCTTTTTCCATTCCCACTGTATGTATATATGGGTAGTCCTCGACTTACAACCATTCATTTTGTGACTGCACTGAAACCAGTGACTTAGGACCATTTTCCACACTTGCAACCATGGTCACGTGGTCAGAATTCAGATGCTTGACAACTGGTTCACCTTTATGATGGTTGTGATGTCCTGGGATCAGGTGATTCCCCTTTTGCAGCTTTCTGATAAGCAAAGTCATATTCACTCAACAGCCGAGTCACTAATTTAACACTATTAAGTTAAATTAACATCATTATGTTACAAGTAACACAAATTAACATAATTAAGTTAACTAATTTAACAACTGCAGTGATTGACTTAACAACTGTGGCATGAAAGGTCATAAAATTGGGCAAAACTGACTTAACAATGGTCTCACTTAACAGCAGAAGTTCTGGGCTCAATTGTGATCGTTAAGTCGAGGACTACCTGTATATTGAACAGTTATGGAAGCATCAATTTCGGACCCTGTAAAACCATCCTGCCCAGTTTTTAACTATAAAGTAAGATCTTCTCTAATGGGAAAAAGGCTCTAGTTTTCTACATACCTCCCCCAAATCAGCAAGACATTAAAGATCTTTTAAGAAAAATATCTGCATAAAAACCTGTTGTTTACATATGTAGCTAAGTCCTCAACTTCTGACCAGTCACTTAGAGACTATTCAAAGTAACAATGTACCTCCCCAAGGGTATTTACAACCCAGTTCCAAAGATCGTTCACCCCCTTGTGGTCATATGACCATATTTTGAGTGCTTAGCAATCAGCCAACATTTATGACTACTTGCAGTGTTTCATGATCCTGTGACCATATTTTATGACACTTTTGCTGAAAACTGACATACACTTCCAGTTTTCAGCAAAAACCGGCCCATTGCAAACAATTAGTTTGCCTAACAACTGTGGCATGTAGTTAAGGGCCACCACCCAAAAAGGGTCATAAAATCAGGTTAGACACCTGATAGGACTACCTGTACAAAAAGATGAAGCCTCTAAAATTGATGACACTACTGCAGCCCATAGAAACAAGGAATTGTGATAGAAACAGTTCTGTGAAGAATCTCTGTAAGATTGTTATCATTTCTCAGCCAACAGGAAAAACTTAAATATTTCCTGTGGTTTTTCAGGTACAGCTGTGGTTTTGGTAATAAACTATCCTAGTAATTTAATGTATATGGGTAGGTCCTCGACTTAAAATCTCTCATTTAGTGACCATTCAAAGTTACAATGGCATTCAAAAAAGGGACTTATTTTTTCATCCTTATGACCATTGCAGCATCCCTGAAGACATATGATCAAAATTAAGACATTTGGCAATTAATTCATATTTATTATGGTTGCAGTGTCCTGGAGTCATGGAATCATCTTCCCAGTGGGGAAGTCAGATTCACTTAAGAACTGTGTCAGTAACCTAACAATTGTAGGGATTCACTTAACAACTGGGGCAGGACAGGTCATAAAATGGGGCAAAATTCACTTAACAAATGTCTTACTTAACAACAGTAATTTTGGGCTCAATTGTGGTTGTAAGTCAAAGACTAAATGTATAGGCATGAAACAGACCTAGAGAAAGCTACAATATAAGAAGACAACATGAAATCTGATAATTAGATATTATCTATTTAGTATGAATATGGACTCGGTGACAGTAGCAATGGGTCCACTACTGGAAAATCTGAAGAACCATTTTAGCAACCAAACGTTATGGATAAATCAATCAATAAATCAATCAGACTAGAACTAGAAGGGACCTTGGAGATCTTCTAGTCCAACCCTCTGCTAAAGCAGGAGACCTGATAACATTTCAAACAAGTGGCTGTCCAGTCTTTTCTTAAGCACTTCCAGTGATGGAATCCCTACAACTTACACAGTTCTTTCCTTCCTTCCTTCCTCCCTCCCTCCCTCGGTCCTTCCCTCCCTCTCTCCTTCCTTCCTTCCTTCCTTCCATCCATCTATCCATCCATCCATCCGGGGGCTGGGGGTGGTCAAAGGACTCCAATCAGCAACCTGTTATGAAAACTTCCTTTTCCCCATGCAAGTTTGGATAGCAGCTTTAAAAATTAAATGAACACATGCACTTCTCTTACAAATTGTCTTGTCACTGCAGATATCAAATAGACCAGTGGACCAGTTGCCTCCAGTGTGTAAGAGGGTTGTCATGCTGGAAGTAGCAAGGTTACCAGTGGCACATGGCTGAATTGTTATAGGTTCAGCTGAATTTTTGCTCCTGATGAAGAAAATAAATAAGTAAACAAACAAACAAAATAAAAAAGTGTTAAGAGAATCTGAGATTTAAGAAAGAAAAAAGAAAGAAAGAAAGAAAGAAAGAAAGAAAGAAAGAAAGAAAGAAAGAAAGAAAGAAAGAAAGAAAGAAAGAAAAAGATTACACAGTGTTAAAAGAAACTGAGATTTATTTTAAAAAAGCACTTCATAGAGCAATTTATGATCTGCAAATGGAAAGAGAAAAAGTATTCATTATTTTAATATCACTCTGTTTTGTCGTAATACCACCCCTCCCTTTCTTCAAATTCATTTCCTCTTGTTGATGCTAATCTCCTACATTGGCAACAGGAAAAATAATTAAAAATATACCTGGCACTGCAGTGTACATTCATTTCCAATAAAGAAAAAAAACCAGCTGTTTAAAAATACTTCCAGCATTAACTTGCAGCATCTATATAGATTTTTATATGCACCTGTCCAATATTAATTTTCCTACCCTATATGAAAAGACAGACATTTCTTCAGAGTAACACTTTTCATCATCGCAATGAATGCTCTTTTAAACTAAACTAAAAAGTATTCATACTTTTGAAAGAAGGAGAGAGATTCCAGAGTTCTTATATGGGCTTTTCTTTTTCAATATGCTTTTGAAGACTTTTGATAGCAGGTGTCTTCCAAGGCATGTATATTAGCCAGACGTGAAGGAGAATAAGAGAGGAGCAAAACCGCAGAGATAAAGAAGCAAATATCCTCCCCAGAGCTGATCAGCCCATCAGAGGGAATTTTAAGAGTGTCAAATGTTGTATGCCTTTCCTGGATCAGAATTCCCTGTGCTGAGTTGTTCAGTCCCTGGTCATCTCACATTCCTTGAATTAAGACACAACGAAGTCTAACCTAAATAATCCATTATTGCCCAGCTGTTAAATTGTCAGGGTTTGGTGGCAAGTGTTTTTTTTTAATAAAAAACTTCTTTTCAGAAATTTAAATACTTTTGTTAAATGGGCATATAGAATCTTTAAGTATGTTCACAAATATTGGTTTGAATTCTTCTAACGAATACTTTCTTCTTCTTTCTCTCTAGGGTGCAATCATTAACAGATTAACAGAGTTGGAAGGGACTTTGTAGGTCATCTAGCCCAATCCTCTCCCAAGCAGGAGACTCCACACCATTTCTGGCAGATGGCAGTCCAGTCTGTTCTCAAACGCTACCAGGGATGAAGCTCTCACAACTTCTGAAGGCAAGCCGTTCCATTGGTTGATTGCTTTTACTGTCAATAAATGTCTCCTTATTTCCAGGTTGAATCTCTCCTTGTTCAGTTTCCATCCATTCCATCCATCCATCATCTCAAAGCCTCATCAAATCAGGCAAGTAGCTGCAGTGCATATACCATAAACCAATTGGTCCTGGTATGAAACTCTAAGGAAAGTCCTGTACGTAGAACTTGGAAATTTTGAACATCAAACTCTATACAAAGCACATCTGAGCCTGATAATTATTTGGAGGATGTGGATATGAGATTAAATGACCAGAGTGTCACACTAGAACCCCATATGTCTGCATTCTGATGAAGTTGGAGTCTCACATCTTAGTTTCGGTCACAGCATTGTTTTGAGGATAAAATGGACTGCAATCCATCTGCATCATGTAAAATCTATCTGAATGTTGTTATCAAAAAAATACAATATCATTACAATTTGGGATAGAATGTAACATTGTTTTTTTGTTGTTAAGAACTTTGGGGTTTTTGTGATGCTAGCTTTCGTTTCCATGTATGCCCCTCCCCAGCAGTAAACCATCATGTTACTGAGAAACAAGTAGCCTCGCCATGGATTGGTATCTACAATCTGCTGGGAAGTAGATTTGATCCAGGAAACCCACAATTACTGGGAAATGTACTGAGAAAGCCATCACACACACAAATGTGAGGATTCTGATTCTGTGACATTTGGTCTGACCTGAAAAAAGAGTTACTTTTGTGGGTCCCATATGAGGCCACTATTACACTCCACTCAATAAAGGACTCTGACTTTGTTTCCCATCCTTTTCAGAAGTGAGGCAAAAGAGGTGACAGATTTTTTCAGCCAAGGAATCCACCACCTGGTTGAATAATCTGATTGAATAATATACAGATGGCTTCAGAACAGTGTAGTTATCTTGTAGCAGTGGTGAAAATCATTTTTTTACTACCAATTCTGTGGGCGTGGTGTGGTGGGTATAGCAGGGGTAGGATACTGCAAAATCTCTAGTTCCACCCCACTCTGGGGTCAGCCAGAAGTGGTATTTGCCGGTTCGCTGAACTACATAAAATTTCTACTACCGGTTTTACAGATCCTGTCAGAACCTGCTGAGTTTCAGCCAATCTTATAGATTATGATGTTTGTAATGCTTTTGTAAGATGTTTTAGAGTCATTCTGGATACTAAAAATATAGTATACAAATAGACATATAACCTCCCCTGCATTTTGCAACATCCTAGGCAGAGACAAAATAAATAGATATAACT